CTTCCTTCAGTACAAACAGGATGAAGGTGGGTCCGAGTCAGACCTAATCTTCTGCATGTCACGGCAGCATGAGCATATACAGGCACACTTGAGGGGAAAAACAGCTGCCACATTGCTCTTTAAAGAGCTAAGAGAGGAAAAGGTGGTGGTCATGGGAACCAAAGTCACCACTCAGGAGATGGTTCCTCATCACCAGCTCCTTCCTTCTCCCTTCACAGCGTCCACTTTTAAATAAAGCTGTGGAAACTCTGGAGCCCCAAGTTATCCCATAACCTTCCCACTGGGGAAACTTCTCTCTGGTGGTTAACTTCCTGTATGAGGTACAAGAGAACATGCCCTCCTTGATTTTTATCCTATCCAATGTAATCTTGGCTATTGCTGTTACTCAGTATCAAAGCCCAGTCCTGCTCTGAATCCTCCTAGGCGTTTGGCCTCAGCAGTGCCTTTTGCAAGGGCCTTTTGCAAGTCCACATGCCATCTACAAATATTTCATTTTTATCTTTTTAAGTGTTTTGCACTTCAGGTTCATTCCTGGTCCCATTTAGAGACAGTGACTATAAACATTATAGGTTCCCTCTTCTCTCTCTCTTCCAAAACAGTCTGATGTTTTCAGTTTCCCACTTGTGGAAGGCTTTCCATCAAACTAAAGAGCTGCAGTGTCCATTTTTTCTGCCTTTCCACTTCTGTCTCCTTTCCGTGGCAAAGAGCCTGGAATACTCATACTAGTCAAGATTACGAATTTAATTAACATTTTCAATTAAGACTTTTTGGCGTTCTTATTGATTGTCAGATTTTTGCACCCTAATATGGAATAAACTAAAAATAGATCATCACCAGAACGTCTGTGAACTTTCCCATTTTTCAAGAGGGGAAGATGAAATATGTAAGTTTAGGCCAACGGAAATTTTGCGAGACAGTTCAAGAAACGAGAACTGAGTAGGGCAAAGGTTCTCCCATATATTTTTCCTACCTCCGGTACAAGGTCTTTTACTGACATTTTACATTATTTTAAGAAATATTGTAGATGGCATTTCTTTAGTTCCTCTTGAGATCATAAGGTTTGGAAAGAAGGTATTGACTAGAACCCAAGACCTTTTTTCCCGGAAAGTGCAAGCCTCTGCCGTGTGAGCTAGAAGCGCCTCCGTGAGCTAGGGATTAACTCCTCCGCAAGCCCGTTCCTCGGGGCTCCCCGCAACGCCCAGACGCACCCTTGGTCGCAGGAGCAGCGCTCACCATCAGTAAAGCTGGAGGGCAGGTGGCTCCACTGCGAGGCGCATACGCCCTCCTCCAGAGTCAAACAAACCCCCGGCTTCCATCAAGACATATCAAAAGGGATTTAGGTACGTACAAAGCGCCTGGCCGGGTTGGGGGCTGAAGCTCCATGCCAAAGCGTGAGCGCGCAAGCAATCCTATGCCTGGCACTAGGTGAACCTTACGGTTTTTGGAGCAGTTCCTTGCTCAGAGAGACGTTGTGCGGGGAGCTGCGCCTTTAGGGGCTCCGGCATAACCCGCCTGGAAATGAGCTGGGGGTCTTGCTGGGCGCCCGCTCCCTATTGCCGGGCAGACCAAATCCCCCCCACCGAGCGGTAGGCGAGAGAGCCGAGTGCCCCGTCTTTCAGTGACAGAGGCAGGGTCTCCTGGGAAAGGTGTTAGCCAGGAGTAAGCTGACCCGGCCCCCAAATTCAGCCAGTTGAGAGCCTTCTCACGAAGCGAGACCCTGGCAGCGAGAAGCACGGAGAGAGGCCGCGAAGCGGTTCACAGGCAGCCTGGGGGCTGGGGCCGCGCGGCCCGCGCCCCACGACGCTGAGCAAGGGGGACCGAGGCTGCGGCAGACACCTCCGTCTCCGTCTCACCTAAGGGTTGGCTCCGGCTGGTTTCGGATCGATGCCTACAGCAGAGGTTTGCTGATCTGGGGAAGGACATGCTGTTTCCAAACACCAGGGTGCTTAGAAACAAAATGACTTCAATATAAACCTACACCAGCATTTAAAGAGCTGGGAAGGGGCTACCAAGAGCCTGGATTTGCAGCTGTTTGTTTTTGTTGCTCGGATACATTTGTTCTCTATGTAAGGGCACAGCTTAATACGCTGTTTCGCAGGGATGAATAATAGTCTTCAATTATTAGTCCGCTTTTTTTTTTTTTCCCTTCCCGTCTCCCCGCTCTAACAGCCCAGCTGGGAAAGCAGTTTGGTCTCAGCTGG